ATAATAATAATAATAATAATAATAATAACGAATTTCTGTTTAACAGACAACCAGAGTAGAGATATAATTCATACTGCTGGTGTTAATTTAACTTAGAGTCGGCCCCATCCAGGAGCTTAGACGCTAAGCACCTAATAATAATAATAATAATAATAATAATAATAATAATAATAATAATAGATACAATATAGTAATATGATCATGAAGCAATACTCCCTCCCGAGTTCAATTACATAAATTTGTACATATGATTTCAAAGCAATTTTTTTATTTTGCTTCTTGTCCTCATTGTTTAGGTCTGTATTAGACGACCTTCATTGATCTCAAAGCATATTGCAATTAGGCAAAATATTCGTAATATTCATAATATACCAATAAATATACTTACATTCCTGAATGGAAAATCTTTGGAATGGCCATCTTGCTATATATACGCACCACCAAGTCAAAATTGTCATTGACAACCTTAATAGACATTTGCAGATTTGCTGTTCTGGCATTGTAGATAGGGCTTACAAGGAATGTTTTTTCATCAAGTTGTATGTCGTTGATGAACCACTCAGCCATTAGTTCATCTATGATTGCAATTGATTTGTGCTGTGTCCAAAGCAGGAAACCGCAACATGCAATTAAATTTTTATTTATTTTTTGTTGGATATTTTTTTTAATTAGATTACTTTTTTTGAATGCTTTATTTTATCCACGTTAACATAAGAATAAGTTTGTTGACATTGAGTATCTATATACATTTGAGTACTATACAACGAATTCCGCTGTAATGTAATTCTCTTGTGCAAAATACTCATTTTTGATACTGGATAATCATTTGACCTAGGGATTAATAATTGAAAAGCACACATCTTATGTAATATCACAAAATATATGTCCATAATAATAACAATTTAAAATTAAATTTACATTTTCTCACCCCAAGTCTTGATTCTATCAAAGCGCAATACGTAGTCTTAAGATGCTCTTGGGAATTTAGTGCAAAATGTTCCTCAATAGTGCCTTTTATTAGGACTTTGTCACACAGTGGACAGCCAAAAGGCTCTTATGGACACAAACACATAAGATGTGTCATAAGCTTATCCCTGCAAATATAATTGTATGGCAACAGTGGTATTAAAAAATGTATTGATGGTAATTTTAAGTTTACCTAATTAGCACTATTTTGTTGTATATAAATAGTGGAAAGTGTTGCACGCTAGAGTTAACGTACTAAAACCGTGAAACAAATAGTACTAATTACTACTAACTAGTATTACATGTAATTAGACAATAAAAAACAAAGGTATTAGCAGACTTTATTACTATTTTAGTAGTTTATTTCTATTTTCGCAAATTCAAATACTAAATGTGTGCAACACTTAACACTATTTTCTACTAAACATAATAGCAATGAAATTAGCATAATTTACTAGTATTTAGTGGTATTTATGTTGCACACTGTCTTGTTTGAGCTTCACAATAGATGATTAGATTATCTCTACAATATGTTCATGAAGCACCCGATTCAAGGTTTGCAGCATTTAACCTGCATGTGTAATATCATTTCTTGTCACTTCTTAAAATTTACAATTGTTTGAATTTGTTAATACCTTTGCACTTGTTCTCCGCAGTTATTTGGGCATTTATTGAATTTCTTGGTGCAAACACTTGAATGCCCTCCATTAACTGGGATACTTTCATTGCAATCTTTGCAACTAATGAGGCGATGGGGGCACTCATTCATGTGATGCTCTTCCTCAAAACGGTATGTGCTGGCTTGGCAGTTGTCATTAGGGCACTTGACAATCTGCATCTCACATGTTGTATTGTGTTGCTCCAGATCGCCAAGCACCCCTTGCCAGCAACACCTTCCATTGCCACTGAGTGTTGTTGGGCACATTATCTTTTTTTCTTTGATAATGTTCTCCAGAACATTGCTTTTAGTGGTCGTAACTCTTATCCCAAGGTAGGCCCTGTCCACTGGGCACTTGTGGTTCGCGTTGGTAGTTGCCATTTCCATGCAAGCTTTGCAAACAATGTGGCCAAATTTGCATAAAACTGGGTTTCTATATACCAGTAAGCTGTGGGAAAAATACTACTTAATGGCCACAGCAAGCACAACATTGTATCTATGACTAATATTAATCTTTTTTAACTGTCTTAAATGAAAAGTGTGTGTGTGGGAATGGTCACGGCAAATTAAAGCTTACGGCAAAATAAAAAGAACACACGGCAAAATGAAAAGAGTGACAACGCGGTCATTTTCTTTTTTATATGAGAATAGATTACTGAACTACGTAGAATGATTGTTGGGTAAATTATCCACTTAGACCGTTACAGAACGAGAAATATCTGGGGAAGCACTGCCACCGCGTTGCCACAGTACTCCCTATGACTGTTGGGTAAATTATCCATGAAACTTTTCCCCTTAGACGGAAATAGCTGAGAAACACTGCTAGCGCGGTTTGTGGTGAAAAAATTTTTTATTGTATTTATTAAAATTCTAACCGACACAATTCCAATTCATATACACCTACTTGCGAAAACGTTGTCAAAAAAATAGGTCATTTTTAACTCGGAGATTGCGTAAGCAATCGAAGAGTTATTGGAGCTGGACGATGTGTGTCACTCACTCACTTTCCTGTAAACTCCGTTGCCGTAGCAACTGCTATATTTTGACTTGCTAATTAGTAGAAATTAATATTCACGGTCTACCTGTGTTTTTTTTTTTTTTTTCGAACCGAAAGAAATTGATGTTACCGATGAGGCTCGAACTCCCGACCTTCCGCGCCAACAGCAGAGACATTACCACTAGACCATGTGTTCATTAGGTATTACGTCACGACTGTTTTACAACCTTTTATCCGACACCAGATCAAACGACGGGTTTCCTGTGTCATAATCGATAAAACTGCTTCTACTAGCTACGAAGGAGGAAAATGTATGTAAAATTCTATTCTTTGGCGTAAATTGTGAAAATTGAAAGAAGGTTTTAAACTATTTCCACTTCGAGAAAGAGTCATGGAAAACGTACTTGAAGCTTCTCGAGTACTTAAGAGGCAATCTCTGTAAAAGCGGTCTACTGCATTTCGGGTCAGAAAAGAAATTTCTCTCAAACTCCTACCATCAAAAGGCAATTATAAATATGTAATCACAGTGGCTTTCTTTTTTGGAAATTCGTCAAAATAATTTTTTTACGCCCCATAATCTCAAGACCACCTTCGTCACCTAATTTGCATTGTTCGTCAATTGAAAATTGCACAAATTCAAACTGTCATAGCTCGTAACATATGAAACTCTGGAACAAATTGGTATTTTCTCTGACTTTAATAATCCTTCAGGTATAAAAAGCACGCAAAATTTTGAATAGTAAGATAAACCGGGGAAAGAAGAAAAATATTTAACGACATCCACTTGACGTCTTTTCTGAAATACGAAAAACTACCCTTTACATATTGGCTTTTATCTGCCAAGTCCAGAACGGATTTTCGAAAAAAAGTAGTGCAATCTACTCTTCTAAGGATGGTGAAACTGGATCTATAAAAACATTTTGCGCTTTTTATCTGTATCATCTATAGCATTCTCGAACATTTTAGCGTTTATAGCAAAATAGAGCATGCAATATGCAAATTAGTAGTTCAATAACATGTAACTAGACGGTACGAATCACTCGAGTTTTCGCTGTCTGGTGTTAAATACACATAACATTATCCTAAACTCAAAGTTAAACTACTCTATTGTCAAAACGTTGCAAAAAATTCATGTTACGCTGTCTTAGAACCATAGTCCAGATAGTCGAATTGTTTTGATTTTTATGCAAATCACTTGTAAAGTTGCAAACGCATAAAAACTCTTTTTTTTT